GCTGAAAAATCCAGCTTAAACCAGCTTAGGCTGGTTGGCTGGTTTTAGCTGGTTGACCAGCCTGGTTTTAGAGGGGTTTTGGCCATTTCCAGGCTGGTTTCCAGCCATTTCCAGCCTGGTCTTAGCTGGTCAGGCTGGAAAATTACCAGCCAAATCCAGCTAAAACCAGATTGACCAGCCTGGTTTAAGCTGGATTTTTCAGCTCTTAAACACAAAAGAAGATGCTGGAAATAAACAGCCATTGACTTCCATAGTATATATATATATATATATATATATATAATTTTTTTTTTTTTTTGCCTCTACTACTGATGTAAATCTTTCCAGCATTCTTCAGAATATCTATTTCTGTGTTTTTTTTTTTTTTTTTGGGTGAACTGTCCCTTTAAGAAATAAGTTAATACATTTATGAGTTTATTTTATTAATACTTACACTTACACATCTGTCTACGTAAGCACACTAACACATTCATTATAAAACAATGGAGTGATCGTTTAATAAATTAAAGAATAATAAAGATGCACAAATCTTACAGATAAATCAATGAGATGATTGTACACACTAATAAAACATCAGCAGCGATCAGTCACAGAGCAGAATGCAGCTTCACTGTTTATTTATGGTGGTGAATTGCATTATGGGATGTTGATCTCTGCTTTGTTGACTTATTCATGTTGAAATTTCAACTCTACAGTTTAACAAAGTGACTTGTACTGACATTTCAGTTGTTTTGAAATAATAACATAATGAATAATTAATAATTTCTAGATAAATAAGTGTGTAAAATAACAGACAATGTGCTGCAGTTTATTACAAGGTGTCTGTAGCATAATATACAACACCACAGGGCCGGAGTGGGACTGGAGTTTCAAGCCTCAGACCGGCCCACCTCAGTTCAAGACTGACTATATTAAAATAAGGTCATTTCCAAATCAGTTTCTAATTACACTATCACGTCTTTTTTTTTTTTTTATTTTTTTTTTGAGAAAACAGCTGCTTTACAACTTCAAATGTTCAACAACCCTAACAGTATTATATGTCTTAACAATAAATATGAAAAAAAAAATAAAATTACTTAGACGAGGATCGAACCCGGGTCAGTGACATCGTAATCTAGTGTGCTACCCACTTGACCACAACAGCAATACATTAAGGCTGCAGGCTGCGAGAAAATAGAAAAAAAAAGCAGAGCTGCGGTAAAATAATGAATAAAAAGGCTTTGGTCAAGTAAATAAATAAAAAAAATTAAAAAGTGTGACTGCTGAGAGCAACAGATTCCAAGTGGTGCTCACTGCAGAGCCATTTGGGCAGAGCTGAGCTCCAGCGAGGGGGAGCTTGAGCTCTCGTTCCTCCTTGCACTTCTTCTACGAGTGATGTCGCTGGGGGTAGGGTTAGGGGTGGGGTTGGTGCACGCATTAAAACAGCTTACAGGAGGAGGAGCGAGAGCTCATGCTCCCTCTCGCTGGAGCTCAGCTCTGCTCAAATGGCTCTGCAGCGAGCAGTGTCTCACAGATTCTGGAGCTAGGGACACCGGCCCTCGCGGCCAAAAAACAGACCGGCCCACCGGGAATTCTCCCGGTCCTCCCGATTAGCCAATCCGGGCCTGCAACACCAACCCAGACAATAGAGCACTGCAGACTATTACACGTGCTCAAAAAATACACCTTTTCACACTTTTCAAGGTTAAGAGTTGAAAGAAGAAAGATCAAGATCCCATAATGCAAATCAAAAGCAGGAATAAAAGAGGAAAAACAAAAACATCGATCACAAAATACAGGAAACTGCTCACTTACAGATACTGATTACAGAATGCACAAATCACATCAAACATGTTTGCTTTTGCTCATTTCCTAAAAGTTGTTGTGTGTGTCGTTGACATCATGGAAACTGCTGGTTTCCTCCATTAGTATTGGCGGGTTTATGAAGCCGGGGTTCGGTACAGTGGTCTCTATAACACTGATTCTCTGGGTCAAATCATGCCTCCCTGAAAAACAAACCACAAACATGCTTTGTGTTGGGTAGGTTATTTCCACCGCACAGGCTTATTGGGAATATGTGCCCAGGGCTACATTATTTGAAGCCGTGAAATGTTTCATTTTGCGTGTGAAATGGATCAATGACTAGGCCTGTCACAATAATCAATATACAGCGGGGTAAATAAGTGTTGAACACGTCACCATTTATCATATTTCAATCATATTTCTAAAGGTGCTGTTGACTTGAAATGTTCACCAGATGTTGGTAACAACCGAAGGAATCAATACATGCAAGGAAAACAAATCTAATTAGTTTACAAATGAAGTTCTGTGTAACAAACTGACATGATGCAGAGTAGAGGATGACATGGGTGTAAATGAATGTATGTGTGTAAATGAAATAGCGCGATGCTGTGTTTAGCTTGTTTGTTGCTGTGTGTGT